CTGGCTCTCGGGCCACACTCAGGCCCCATTCCTCCTATTGTTTTCGGAATTCATGTATTCAACCTCACTTATGCCTTCTACTACCCCAACGGAAGCCTCGGGACGCTACACAGGACTTAAAGATAAGTTTTCTGTGAGTGCTGCTCGTGGGTTCGCGTAAATTACGTCCAATCTATACTTCAAAATTTTGGTACAAATCGGGAGAGATCAGTGATGATTTGACAGCCCACTAAGTGGAATGGCTTTAAAAGATAATAGTTTTGTAGCAATGTTCCCAATTAGCAAACTGCACCGAAATCTTGCCAGGCGAAATACTTTGCTTATGTGAGCATCCGATGTCTGACGGCCACTTTAAGACTTGTCTGGTCCTCGTGTGCGTGTGCTCGCTTTCGGGCCATGTTTAGGTCTACTTGCCTCGTTCTCTTTGGGCCACATTTGTTTAGCTTCACTTACTGCCTCTTTTACCCGGTGGCAAGTCTCGAGACGCTACGCCATGTGCCTTGGATTTACCACCAAGTTAATAAGAAAAAGAAAATTCATAAGTCGTGTGATTGTGAATTATGTCCACTTGGTTTTCATTAGTTCAGGCTGTATATTTCCCATTTATATCAGTTAGTCAAATTATGATAATTATGAACCTGCTGTTAAGTTAAATCATCAATCTAAAATCCACTAATGTTTGTTGGCCTAATATTTGATGCCGATGATAGAAAGTTGCCAAATCTGACAAAAGACGTTGCCACTCGAACTGCTGGTTGGCTTGCTGTGACCTTGAGACGCTACCTAACGAATAAATGTACTGGAAGTCTTTCTCTTCCTCGGTGTTTCGAGCTCTCGTCTTTGTGGCTCCGTGGGGTCAGTCGGTGTCAATCTTGCAAGTTTTGTGTGATTTATCCTTGTAGTTAGTTGGAGGTCTGAAGGCCTTGTTTATGATCGTTAGCACAGCGGTTACTTTAATAAATTCCCGTCGGTGTTATTTTCTAGATATGCCTCACTACTTCTCACTTTCCTCGAGTGTGCTTACGACATGCACAGCGGTGTACTTCTTGTGCATATGAAGCATAACATTTGGGAAGCTTCTCATCCTGCTCCATGAGTTTGGTTTCACGCCTTTATGTTTCACGCCTATGTTTATTTCGACAAATTAGTGAGCGAATTTTTTCAAAGTCCTTGATGTATGTGTAGTTATAGGAAGGAAATAGGCCTCACGACTCATCTTGACGGCTTTTAGTGCATGTGTTTGAAGTTTTGATGACGCACTGTAGAGGGGCATTTACTGAAGATTACAAAGATTCCGCACTATGGTTCATGGTTAGTGGCGGCACTAATTTCGTCAACTGCAGAATGCTTGAAATTGTGTGTAGTGGTTGGTAATCATACGGCCACGTAAATGAAAACCGCTCATATGCATCCATTGACTCTAATAAGCTGTCGAGCTGCCAAACTTGTGAATGTTCTCCGTGTGTAAGCCAGAGGTAAATATGGCTTTCAGTGACAGTGGTGATGAAAACGGCAATCGGAGAATGGTTCCTTAGCCTGTTTATGGGGACACTTGAAGGTGGGTCACGATGTGAGGGTGCATTGACTGCATTGATGAGCCACTGACTTGGAATGTGACCTGTTTTCTTTTTGGAACTTGTCGCAACAGGTCAATTCATTTAATGATACGTGTTTGTTCGAATTCACTAAGATCGGTCATTCAGGTCTTTTGTGCGTAGCCCACTTGTCAGGTCTGATTACCTTGATATTCAGTAAGTATTTATTTGTGATGTGCAGAGCATTCAATATTCTTGTTTGAAGTGTGGTTTGGGGATGAAGTTGATCTTACAGTTCGGTGTTTCGCCCATGTTATCCCGAAGTATTGTTACGTCGCATTGCAGCGGCAGTAGGTGCTTGTGTGAATGCGGTGCATAGGATAGAGCGACCATAGCCTAAAACGAACGCTTTGTTTCATTGGTATCAAATCTAGATGACTGCTCCGACAGCGCAACGAACATTCATGAAGGACGTGATAGAGCTCTATCGGGTGATTGACTCCTCGACCGACGGTCAGGCATCCGTCATTGGAATTGATGGGATGCGAGTCACTGTTTCTCTGCGACCCAAATCTGGTTGCAACGCGCATGCTGAGTTCCTAATTACTGTAAAAGTCTTCCACACTTCTCATTGCACTTTCGTTTAGCTACCAACTCTTCAAAGCAATTGCCCATTTATGTGTTGTACTAATTAGAGGTTAAGAGGGGCTGTGCTAATGCTGCGGTCATCATTGAGCCCCTAGACATTGGAATGCATCACACTTCGTTTCTCTTGACTAATCTGTGATTTACATAGAGTTATTCCGAAAATGATGCTCCCGGTGATAACCAAAACGTGCCCGGTTTTAGATCAACGGTTCTCCCCTCTACCCTAGAATTAGTCCGAATGTGACCGTCAACACGCCTATATATCATCCGAACATTGATCCACACAGTGGTTCGCCGTGTATAAGCATTCTCAGTGATTGGCGAAGGTGAGTGAAGTCACATTGGCTACAAAATTACGGCAATTTATGATTGACTGCGAATTGCAACACAGAGAAACAGATGAGCTTCATTTTTCCGTCTGCCTGCTTTGAAAATTGCTTTTCTTTGTAAATCGCTTATTTTTTCAGCTGTTACAGCCTTCTGGACTTAGTTAAGGCCTTTCTCTACCTCATTGACCACCCCATATTTGATTCGCCGAGTCACCCCTTCGGAGTGCCTCTGGATAATGTTCATCTGGCCAAGAAATCGGCCCGTTTGCTTGCTGGTCTCCCAGTCAATGGATTGCGCTACCCACCCAACTCT